TGATCCAAAGTATATTTCTCATTTTCTATTAATGTGCATTGTGCTTCTTATGTTTATAGAATTTTTACTCTTGTAAATGGCATGTCATTTTCTATTATATGTCTGTAGTCTTACATAGTGTGCACAAATGTAGCTGATTTTCATGTTTGGCAACTATTATTTTTAATTCAAAAATTTGGATGATATATTTAATTTTTCATGAAAATAATATCTGCAAGTGATAGACATTTTGTTTACATTTTACTCATACCATTAGATTTATGATCTTGTTGTATTAATTATATTTTCTAATATTATGTAACTTAGAGAAAATTATGGTCATTTTGTTTTTGACATAAGAATTTGTTCAAATTTCTGCATTAGGACATTGTGGGAAAATTTTCAAAAATAAACGTGCTAACTTTTAATAAGTATTAAATAACTGTTTTCAGTTTGTAATAAGTGGTAAACTGCTATCTTCTTGGGATCTGTTGTAAAAAGAATCATGTTCATAAGAAACATGGAAAATAATTTATGTATTTAGGGAAAAAAGTTTTTAAGCAAGTAATCCTTTTCCATTTTTAGCAATCCATGTTTTTCTAAGATTTTCTTTGTAAAAGTACTTTTTACTCAGCATTATTTTATTATATTATTTAAACCCATTCTTGATTTGAGCTTTTAAAAAAACTTTATAAATTTATTTACTAGCATACAAATGAATGTAGCTTAATATGACATAGTAAGGGAAAGAATATATATCACTGAAATGAATGTGAGTATTACAAGAGGTACATGAAAGAAAAAGGTTATTACAAATATTACATGAAAAAAACACTAATATTTTGAAGACTGGAATATATATATATGTAACTTTGTTACCATGTTATTGCAAAAGTGTTCAATTTCTTCTGATTTGATTTCTTCTTCATACGTAAAAGTTAGTTGGAATAACTATGTAACTACAATAACAGGTTATTACTGTGATAGCGAAGATACTAGTGAACAAATATCCAAATTTTTTTCTTTCTCTAATTTTAAATCTTTATTAAATCAATATATTTTAATAAGTGTTGCTGAGAATTTCTTAGTAATTTTACTATCTATGTATAAGATTTTGAAACAGTATTTACCTGACCATATTTATTGTTGTTACTGTTTCTTTTTAGACAACTCATCTTTTAAAATAGTTCTCATTTTAGTTGCTTTAAGGTAATACATCAAATCTAGAATTTTGATACATATTATGAATATGTTCTTTGCTTTGAAAGATCATCTATATGGTATTATATTATACATATATGTAAATTTAATTTTATACTATAATACATGAGAACTACATGTTGATTGGTTAGAGAAAATTTACACCTTTTGTTTTACTTGTATGCTTCATTCTGTCCCAGATATTCCCTATCAATAGAAATATTTATTTTGTTTATTAATACAGATGCTACTCAAATTGTGATGGTGTCGTATCATGATAAACCCATTGTAATTAGAAAATATCATCAGTTTCAGTATATGTGCTGCTGAAGCGAGCATGAAAATTCCATCAGTTTCAGATGCATTTAGTACACCTAACCTGGCAAACATATCATCCTGTAATAGTTATCCTGTGTTACAAATGCTCATAACACTTATATTACCTTAAAATTATTTAAAATCTTTTGACACAAACATTATTTTATAGAATCGAATATTATATGTAATTTATTACTTTTTATACTGCATGAGAAGAAATAGAACTGATGGATGGGTGTGCTTCCACACCACCATAAAGTAAAAATAATCAGAGATCAGTGACAGCCTGATTGTGAAATGCACACGATATGGCTAATACAACTTTATGTCTATGCAGGTGGTATATCTATCATAATTACATACATAGAAATAAATTTATATTGCATATAAGTATATTATACATGTGCATAAAATATACAGATACAGATTTACATTCCCAAAATGTTTTGGAGAGTTGGGTGTTGTAATACATGAGTATCTGGTGTAAGCCAATGCTGTCTTTGATGTAAATTATTTGAGATAAATTATCACAAATATATAGAGTTAGAATGTAATGTAGCTGTCTAATTCTTAGGCACAATGAAAAATATCATCTTCAAAAATGATCATTGTTAAAATCATGAACAACAAAATGAACAACAAAAATATATGAAGAGCAAAATCTTCAATGCATATACAAGTGATGCATTTGAAGCATGATTTTAAGCTTATTTGCAATCATAGTCTAAGTGAAAATCTAGGGAGTATCAAAGTGAGGGAGCAGTCATAACCTTTCAATGAAAAAGGAACAAACTATCAAAAACATAAATGGAAGTTCATTCTCAGCAGAAACATTTTAAGAACCAATTGCAAGTTAATGGATGTTAATGACATTAGTCCACTGTAAAGCTATGTAAAAAGACACAAATGTAATAAAAATTTTATGTTCTTTCATTTATGTGCACATATATTCCAGGAGAAGAATAACTGTTAATTATGAACTTCGATAGAGCAGAGATATTAAAATATTCCAATTAATTCAGTTACTAATGTATATCTCTGAATTAATATTTTATAACCATAAAACACGATTAAGTTTAATTAGTACTAGGTTAATTAGTAGTATTTGATTTATCTTAAATATATATGTCATATTTTTAATGTTTTATTAATTAGAATGAAGTAATAACAAAATTATTGAAGAACATATGATGCACTCCTATACTAATTTATTTAATTAGGATTAGCACTAGTATGGTAAAACAGAATTTATATTGTTTTTATTGTTTAACAAAAATTTTTTGTTATTGAAGATACACTTTTAATGATATGTTGAGATTTCAGAGAATTTTTTCATCCTAATGAAATACAAGGCACTTTTAAGACATATGGTAAATCTTCAAATTTTTAAAAATGTGTTATAGTGAAAGACACATTGCCATTAAGCACCCTCAAAATAGTTTACTTTGAACACGTTTATACCACTGTTCCTGCCGCTCTCTGAAGCAGTTCTGGAAGTCCTCTTTTGTGTCTTTAGCTGTGCTGTTTGGCTGCCTCGATGCCTTCCCACAATTAAAAACGTTTATCTTTCAAGGTCATTTGACTTTAGTTAGAGAAGAGCCAGAAGCAGCACAGTGCCAGACCCGGTGACGAAGCGAATGACGACAAGCAGTAATGCTTTAAGGAGCCTGCCTTTCTGCTGGATGGCATTCAACAGTAGCATTCACTGTATTTTTGTCACACCTCATACAGACACTCGCAAAAGAGGACTTTATGGACTCCTTTAGAAAGTGGCAAGAATCATGGGCTGATTGTGTTTGAGAGTACTAAATTGCAGGATTCTACCATCACATCAGGCTCCTCCACATCATCAACAATTGTTAATTTGGATAGTGTTATGGATTTCAGCCGTTCTCAGTTATGTGTGATGGAGTCTCATTGCTTTAATTTGCAACTACCTAGTGATATCCGATATTAAACACGTGTCATATGTTTACTTCTTTCAGTAAATTTTTTTGGTGAAGTGTTTGCTCTGCTTCATTTATTTAGGCTGTTTTCCTAGTGTAGAGCTGAAGAGTTCTTTATGGGTTTGGAATATGACCCAGTGATTAATGCTTCTGAGCGTGTGTGGCCCTGGGCTTGACTCCCAGTACAGGAGTCGGGATGGGTAGGTAGAGTTCTTTGAGCATTTTTGAACACTCTTATCAGATATATGTTTTGGAAACATTCTTTTCTCAGTTTGAAACTTGTTTTCATTGGTCTTAATCTTAAAAATATATATAATTAAGTATAGTTTTAAAAAGTTAATTCCTCAGATTTATTTATTATTATATACGGCCTCTGCATTTTTGCACAATCATAATCAGCTAAAAGTTATTTGTCTTCTTTAAAGTAGAAGATACTTAATACATTTTACCTACCCCCGCCCCCCAACACCAAACGAGAAACAAGAAGGGTGAACAACTGCTCCTTCAGGCTTCTCAGTGGCAATAATAGCTATTACTTGTTGTCTGCCACATCACAGATTATATTTCAGGACACACTGCATATTCCTGTATTTAAACTTTACAGGGAGTCTGAAGATAATATGCTATTACTTATATTTTGTAGAAAACTAAAAATGATTTTAAAAATTTCAATAATTTGCAACTAATTTAAAATGATAATTGGCTTCCCTGAGATTTGGGCAAACTCTTCTGGCTTCCAAACCAAGTTATTCTTCCTTCCTTGGTTTGGGTGGCAATGCTTATTTCTGCAACACACACACACACACACACACACACACACACACACAGAATGTACAGAGTGGAAGTCAGTACAAAATTCCTTCTGGAAGTTTCTGATGCATAACACTACAGCTCCATTTTCTGTTTTTTCTTTTTCCCCCTTGTTCAAGAAATCATACTTAAGGAAAATATTGTGAGACAAATTGTTATATCTGTGTCAAAATCTGTTGTTTTTAAAATATGTTCCTCAGACTAGCACAATTACATTACCTGGGAAATTTTATGAAATGAAACTCTATTTATTACGGTTTTTGTGGTACGAGCCCTTAAGATCTACTACCTTAGCAAATTTCTCAAGTATGCATTATTGGTAACGATCGCTGATACCTTGAGTGTAGACCTCTAGAACTTGTAAGTGGAAGTTTGTACTGTTAGCCGGCGTCTTCCCACTTCTCCTACTCCCAGTCTCTGCCAGTCACCATTCTACTTTCTGTTCTGAGGCGAGTGAGTTTTAGACTCTATCTTTCAGGGATATCGTGCCATATTTATCTATGTTTCAGTGGTATCATGCATCTGATACAGGATGTGCTGTACCTGGATGATTCCAGTGACAATCATTTTGCATTCATTTGGGAGTCATTTTGGAGAGGAAGTGCAGACATTGTGGTTGGCAGTGATTGGTTCTCATCAGAAAAGTAAATGCCTGTTTGTGCATCGAATGCCTTATTTACTTAAACCACTTTTTCCTACTGTGTAGAGGTATAAGGATTAAATAGTGCATAAAGAGATGGTGCGCTGGAGCTCAGTTCAGCAGCACATGTACTAAATCGGAATGATACAGAGAAGAATAGCACGGGCCCTAGCAAGGAAGACATGCAAATTCATGAAGCGTTCCACATATTTTCTAATAAAAATAATTCATACTTAAAAAAGACATGACACATTGCTGTCTCATATTAAGAATTCCATAAATTATAGACATTTATCCTACATCATTCCTATTTTATTTTAGCTTTTTTCATATTACAATGATTGGGCTTTGTTACTTACAGAATATGAGACGATGAGCAAATCAATTACTTTCCGCTTCTCAAAAGTGAAGTGAGAATTATAAAACTTCCCTAATAATCTCTCACAATATTTAAAATGTTTAATACTTGCAACAATGGATGTAAGGTTTATGCTCCCTGAAGGTAGCTTATCTTTTCTTCTCTCTCTTTCTTGAAGCATGCTTATTATAATCTTTTGACTTGGTTCCAAGCTAGTGTATGATCAAATTCCTGATGCAGAATTCATTTCTCTCCTCTCTGGGACAGATTACTTTGACATTACTAGTCAACAAATTATCCCTGTTCAAAAAAGATAAAATATATTCATTGATTACCCTCAGGGTTAATGCAAATTTTGGAGTAAAAATAGAATAAGAAGAGAACAAACATTTGCATGTCATCATTGTAAACTGAGATAGACAACTATTTTTTCTCATTGAGTTTATTGGTACTTTTTAGGTATACAGTACAGTTACATTCATTATTGGGATCTTGTACATTTACATGACAGGTCTTGGTTCTCATTTTTTCCCCGTACCCTCCTTTCACCACCTCCACCCTTCCCTATTTACAAAAACTTTATTTCCATTTTTTCCACTCTCTCTTTTCTTTTCCCTTATTTCCTTTCCCTTACCCTTCCCACTTCCCCTACAACTTTAGCTCTTTTATTCCTATTTTACATTATCAGTTATGCAGTTTGAATCTCATTTAAATTTTCAGTTTTTCACACCAGAGAAACTATTCAGTATGTTCATGTGTGTATCTTATTTATTTCTCTTACAAATATGGCATCAATATGCAATCATTTTCCTATGAATGACTCCAGTTTCTCATTCTTTATGTCTGAGTAGTACTCCATTTCACAGAAAAACAACATCTTCTTTATCCAGTCTCCAACTGATAGGTAGTTGGGTGGTTTCCACGTTTTAGTTATTAAAAACTGTGCTGCTATAAACATGAGTGCACATATATCACTGTGATATGATTCTTTTAATTCTTTTGGAATGATACCCAGCAGAGGGATAGCTGGGTCAAATGGAACCTCTAGTCTGAGATCTTTGAGATATCTCCATATTGATTTCCACAGTAGTTGCACCAGTCTGCACTCCCACCAACAATGAAGAAGGGTTCCTTTCTCCCTACAGACCTGCCAACATTTGCTATTGTTTGATTTCTTGATAGCAGCCATCTTTCTAGGGTGAGGTGAATCTCAGTGTTGTTTTCATCTGCATCTCTAGAAATACCAGTGATGTGGAACATTTTTTCATATGTTTATTTGTTGCTTTGCACTTCTTTGTCTGAGAGATGTCTGTTCATTTCAGATGTCCATTTTTGAATTGGGTCTTTATATTTGGGGTGCCCAATATTTTTGAGTTCTTTATATATTAGTCTTTTGTCTGAAGAACAGGTAGTAAAATTTTTTTCCCCACATTGTAGGTTGTCTCTTAGCTCGGTGGGTGGTTTCTCTTGTAGTGCAGAAGCTTTTGAATAAGATGACATCCCACTTGTTGATTCTTTCTACTAGTTCCCATGCTACTGAGGATTTGTTCATAATGTGTTTTCCTATGCCAATGTCTTCGAGAGTTCTGCGTAACTTATCTTCCAGCAAGTTTATTGTTTCTTCTTTAATATTTAGATCTTTAATCTCTGGATTTTAGTTTAGTGCATGGTGAAAGATAAGGGTCTAGTTTTAATCTTTGGCAGATTGAAATCCAGTGTTTCCAACACCATTTATTAAAGAGGCCATCTTTCTTCCAGTGAGGATGACTGGCTCTTTTGTCAAAGATGACATAGCTGAGTACATCTGGAGTTGTTTCTGTATAGGAAGACAACTTTTAGCAGCCAAATTCTGTCCATATTTTGGTGAACATGAAATATAAACCACCAAAAAATATCAACAAAACAATGACATACATTGAAAGTAAAAGATTGCTAACACAAGACAGAATATACTGTTGCATTCCTAAATTTACAGACAGAAATGGAAATATCTTCCACAAATAACTATGTTGTTCACAAGTACCTATTTAGTCAGTCAGATCTGACCTTCCCAGTCTCACTCTGAGCCTTCATACTAGAGACTTTCATAATTTCCAGAATTTGATGATAGGGTCCATATTAAAGTACCCTCTCTGTATTCCAGGACGATTTTCATCTTTTTAAAGGTTAAACTCATTTCATTTTCTTCCTTTTCTTACACCATTCTGCAAAGTATGCTCAAATTCAAGGTCATTGGTCTCTCTTTCATTACATTTCCTCATCTCTCAAGGAGCAAAAGTATAAAAGAAAGATAAGTGAGAGTCAAATAAGAGGAAATTGAGGTCTTCTGTCTTGTGAAAAATATTAGAAGTCAGAATTTATTGGCTAAAACATGCAGGCTAAAGATTTTCAGACAAAGCAATGAATCAAATTTTATGCCAAATGATATATTTTACTGAATATCTATTTAGGCAAGAACTCTTCCATATATTTCCTCTAGTTCTAACCAGTTAAATAAGTGGTCCACTTGTAGAACAGATCTCAGATCTAGTGTGGCCAGTATTAGAACCCTGGAAGTTCGATTCAGAGCTTACTTTTCCCCATAGTGCTATGGGCTTCCACAACATATACATGTAACTCTCACACATACATGAGTTCTCACTGGGTGGTTTACATGTTTGTTTCTATATATTTCTTCCTTTCCCATTAAGTGTCTTGGTACATTTAAGGTAAATAATACAGTTACATTCATCATTGGGATCTTGTACCTTTACATGACAGATCTTGGTTCTTATTTTTTCCCCATTCCCCTGCCCTCCCTCCCCTCCCTCCACCCTTTCCTATTTACAAAGACTCCTTAAGGCACAAAATGGTGTTTGTTCATAGTTTCTAACTGAACTGGGGGATGTTTTCTTTTCCAGTTACCAGTTTATTACAGTAAGTAATTCAATCCTCAGTGTAGCTTTTGTTCTTATGCTTCTAGTTGATTATTTAACATGTTGCATAAAAGTAGAAAAGTCCAATTAGTTTCTTCCCTTTATACATAAGAAGTCAGTTCTGAGAAATATACGTGTGATTTAGTCACCTTGAAGTAAAAAATATTCATGCTTATGCTATATTTCAGAATATTTGGGAATCTTATAACAGTCAGGAATTTATTTTCTATTAATTTGCAAATTTTAGTAAGTTCAGAAGGAGATAATTTCGGTAGCTATGTGCTGGAAATTCAAAGCAACATACAATAGAAGACATTATGTTATTACTACTTTAAAAAGCAATGCATTATCTTTCGGATGCTAAAATTTCAGAATATATTTTTGTGCAATGTTTTGTTGATAATGGTCCACAGACTTTGTTAAGCATTAGGTAGTATGAAATTTCCTTTTCTTTTATATCATCTATTAAATAGAGTTTTATTTCTTGCTGCCAAATATGTCATCTTTATATGGGCAAAATATGTCATCTTTATATGTATCTTATTGGTGTTCAAACGCAGTATTAATTTATAAGAGCTATAGTTGAGATTAAAAAAAATGATCTGGTAGATTCTCTAACCTGTGTAAAATCCCTTTGGTGTTTGTGGAATTATCTTCTTTACCTGTGTTTATTTCCCAAAAGACCAGCACCTGAAAGCCAACAGTCTCATTCTCTGTCACTCAGTTTTCCTCTGCTGATTTAAAGATGGAATCAAGGAGCTGCTGTGTTAGAGGAAATGGAATGTGCAGTGTGTTTGCTTGTAGGTAGATCACTGTCACAAATGACTTGTTTGTCGAATATATTTCACAACCTTCACTAACTTTTCTTTTCAACTTTTAAAACTATCAACAATAATCAACCAACTCTGGAAGTAATTTTCAATGTCTAAACAATAATGATTGATCCTCAAGATATTTCTTGTTTTAAATGATTTGCTTAGTAAGATTATGGTCTGTTTTAATGGCCAAGCAATTAACTTCAAATAAATAAAATCTTTGCAAATTTAGTAAAAATCTCAATGTAGGGATTTTGATGAGGTATTCTAAAGTTTATCTCAGTTAAAAAATGGCTCTAAGGCATGTGCAGTGCAGTCTTTTGCTCAACCATTCCTTTGCTGCTTCAGAGAGCATTTGTTTTTTGTTTTGTTTTTTTGTTTTGTTTTTGGTACTGGGGATTGAACTCGGGTCCTTGCGCTTCCAAGGCAGGCCACCGAACCGCTGAGCTAAATCCCTGGCCCCAGAGAGCATTTGTAAACCCCTCTTAACCCTTTGTCACCTTGCCTTTGGGATAATCTTGATATTGAACTCGTCCTTGCGCTTCCAAGGCAGGCCACCGAACCGCTGAGCTAAATCCCTGGCCCCAGAGAGCATTTGTAAACCCCTCTTAACCCTTTGTCACCTTGCCTTTGGGATAATCTTGCCCTTGCTCATGATTTAAACCAGGCATGTGGACATCATCTCATACCATGTCTGAATCTGGGAGTTCTAATTTCTAATGCTTTACTTATAAGGGCTGCTGACTCAACCTAAATGATTTACTGACAATTTTTTAAACTAAAAAATGCTTTTACTTTCTTCACCATAAACTATATTTTTTTCTTTGTATCTATTTTTTCAAAAATATCACTAAGCTGATTAAAAAAATACCAGCATCTTCATTTTCTCGTGTTCTCTAAATTATCAGACACCTTAACTTTATCATTGTCAACTTCCTCACCGAGACTCATTCCCATTTCCAATTGAATACCAAATTCTTTTATTCAGGAAATAAAAGTAATAAGAGACATCCATCTTCTCCCTTCTAAGAGCACAACTAAATCTCTTTTTCCTGCAATGCTTTAGCATTCTATTGATAGCATTCTATTTTCTAATATTTTCTATTAAGTGGCCAAGTTAAGCT